CTGCAAGAGAGAGAAAACTGCTGTCAAATCCTTCAAATGCTGCTCCTGGGTAGTGCTGTGGACCAGTATGTCGTTGAGGTACACGATGACGCATTTATCCAGCTACGGCCGAAAAAACCTTGTTCATGGTTGACTGGAATGTTGAAGGCGCTTTTGTTAAGCCAAAAGGCATAACCTTGTACTCGTACCTCCCGTACCGGGTCCGAAACGCCGTCTTGTAGTAATCAGCTCCGTTCACGCGGATTCGGTGGTAACCGCCTCGCATGTCAATTTTCGAGAAGAATTTGGCTCCGCGAAGTTGGTCGATGAGTTCGTCGGCACGCGGGATAGGATAGCGGGAATTGATGGTAACCTGGTTCAAGGCGCGGTAGTCAATACACATTCGGAGACCGCCATCTTTCTTCGGGGTGAACAGTATTGGAGCTGCAAACGGTGATGTGCTGGGGCGGACGAAACCTTTCTCGAGCAGGTAGTCCAGCTTATCTAGCTCGGGCTAAGTCAGCCGCCATTGAGTCCGAACAGTAGGCTGCGCTCTGGGCTCTATGTCGATTTTGTGGTCGTGTTCTCGCTCAGGTGGTAAACCCGCCGGTAAGTCGTCTGGAAAAATATCAACGTGTTTCCGAATCACGGTCGCCAAGACATCCGGGACAATTGCGCAAAGTTTGTCGATATCGGTCAGTGTGTCGACAGCCATTGATGCAATCCATCGGACGGCATACAATTGCGCCCCTCGAATCATGGCTCGCTCAATCGTTACTGCGCTGACAGTCGATGTGGTCGAATCTTGACAGCTCCACTTCGGTAGTCGTCGCCACTCGCCACTCCATTTGATGGCGACAATCACCCGTCCGCCATTCAATGCGCGGGTTGTATCCGCGCAGCCTATCGCGTCCCAGCAGCATGTCGCACCCATCCAAAGTTGTCGCCAGCATCTTCGTCGTGAAACCGATTCTTTCGCCGCATGTTATTCGCACGTGAGGTACCCGCTCCTAAATTGCAAGTGAGAGTACGACGTTGTTACACCCTGAGAGTACGACCCTGTTACACCCTGTTGTGCCATTGTGAGAGTACGACCCTGTTACACCCCTTGTCCCTTTCCTTATTTCCTTCCTGTTTCATTTCTCTTTTTATCTCATCTCATTGGATTTCCTATTCTCCATTTCCCATTAAACCTTTGGTTTATCCTTCTATTATAATTATATCACCGACCAGGCTTGGGATGTACTAGTGCGCTATCTGGCGTAATCCTGCCGTAATCCCTTAAAACCAATAGCCTCGCGTGGCTATACGCAGGGTGATTCTATCTTCTAGAAGGGTCTATTCTAGGAGGGGCTCCAAAAGAAACAGACAGCTGTGGAGATTATACCGGTACCTAAGAACCTGGGGACCAAATTAAGGAGTGTGCAAAGAAGCCGACCTTTCCACGGAGTCAACGTCCTCTCCCGACACCAGCCCACAACGACCACCCGTTCCCCAGGGAAGACGTCGGTGGAGCTGAAGCAGCTCAAGAGGAAGCTGGGGGTCTACAAGAAGCTGCACAAACCCCAAACTCCTCCTACGGATGCATCCAGTTCTTCGGCATCAAGGACGCGCACAGTCGTCAAGGAAACTCCGGGCCCTCGAGAAGAGCCATTCTCCAAGCAGCCTCGGCCAGCTGCCAGCTCAGGAGTAGATAGCAACACAAAGGTGTGTACGGAATATTGGGATGTACCCTATGACCCAGTCAATAAGACTATCTTTGGGTACTCCGAGCAACGCCTGCCCCTCGTGCTCGAGGTCATCTGCAAAGGACGACGCCTCCAAGCACTCGTGGACAGCGGAGCGTCACACATCGTCTGCAACAAGGCAGTAATCGACCGACTTCGGGAAGAGTACAAGCCATCAGGATTCTCTGCAACGATGGTGGATGGCAGCAAGTTACTAGTATACGGCGAAGCAGTGCTACACCTACAAATCGGGCCACTGCGCTGGAGACCTGCACTCCCCATCACCAACATCAAGGGGCTTGACTTGATCTTTGGGCGAGACTTCCTGAAAAAATTCAACCCCGAGATCAACTGGGTGAACCGCACCGCAAGCATCTACAACAATGGACGGAGAGTACAGCTACCCAACTGGGACGATACAGGAGATATCCCAGTGGAGACACTCACCAGATTCGAGAAGGACGTGAAGCGAACCGACACCGCGTTCCTGGCGATAGCAACAGAGGTGGAGAATGACGGAGAGCAAGCCTCGGAACCTCCAGAAAAAATCAAGGACTTGCTGAAGGAGTTCCAAGACATTCTTCCTGACGATCTGCCGAACGAGCTACCGCCATACCAAACACATCAACACGAGATCGTGGAGGAACCGGGTTCGAAGCCGACCTTCCGAGCACCATACCGGCTCAGCCCTACGGAGCTGACCGACATGAAAAAACAGATCGAGTATCTCCTAGCCAAAGGACTCATCCGACCATCCACTTCGCCATACGGTGCCCCAGTACTCTTCACACCGAAACCGGACGGAAGCCAGCGCATGTGCATCGACTACCGAGCTCTTAATAAGCAGACCATCAAGAATAAATATCCGATACCGCGAATCGATGACCTGCTTGACCAGGTTCGGGGAGCTACGGTATTTTCCAAACTGGACCTGCGGTCCGGATACTGGCAGATACGGATGGCAGACAACTCTATCCACAAAATTGCTTTCCGAACTCGGTATGGATCGTACGAGTATTTGGTAATGCCGTTCGGACTCACCAACGCACCGGCAACGTTTCAAGCCAAAATGAACCACATTCTACGACCACTTTTGGACGAGTGCGTAGTGGTGTACCTGGACGACATCCTCATCTACTCGCGCGACATGAAGCAGCACGTCGAACACCTGCGACGCGTCTTCGAAATTCTTCGACGCGAACAATTCTACGTCAAACTGTCCAAGAGCGAATTCGCCCTTGAGAATGTCCAGTTCCTAGGACACATGGTGAGCACTCAAGGAGTTCACGTCGACCCCAAGAAAATCGAAGCCGTACGTACGTGGAAGACACCCGAGAACGTGAAGGAGTTGCCGCAGTTCCTAGGCTTCACTAATTATTACAACAGGTTCGTGCCATAGTATGCGAAACTCGCAGCACCACTCACGAATCTGCTGAAGAAGAACACGCCCTAAAAATGGGAATCGAAGCACCAGGAAGCCGTGGAGCAGCTGAAACAAGCACTCATGACCGCCCCGGTACTCATCTTGCCAGATCCCGAACGCGACTACGTAATCGAAGCTGACGCCGGCGACCAGGTAGTGGGAGCAGTCTTGATGCAAGACCAAGGGAATGGACTGCAACCAATCGCCTACCTCAGCAAGAAACTACATGGAGCAAAACTAAACTACCCGATACACGACAAAGAGGCCCTTGCCATCGTCATCGCCTTCAAAGCGTTGAGATGTTATCCCGAAGGACGACGTACAACCGTCTACACCGACCACTGCAGCCTGAAATACTTGAAGACACAACCCAACCTTTCCAGGCGGCAGGTCCGGTGGATCAATTTCCTCGAGACACACTTCCACTACGACATCGTGTACAAGCCCGGCCACAAAAACAAAGTAGACGCTCTTAGCCGGCCTGCTCACGTTGCCGCCATTCAGATTGAAGGGATGAATCCACTCCTCAAGGGACTCTTCACACACGGGTACGCCATCGACCCAGAAGTCCCCTTGGCTGAAAAACGACATCTGCTACAGTGGGACAGTGACATCGCGTACCGGAAGGGATCAACGAAAATCTGGGTACCCAATTACCCTCCTTTGCGCCAGTTACTACTCGAAGAATATCACGACGTCCTATACGCGGGACACTTCAGTAGCAACAAGACGCTCACCGGTATCGCCAAACACTACTAATGGCCCCACATAGCAGATGACGTACAGAAATTCGTCACCTCGTGTGATACGTGTCAGCGGATGAAGAGCAGCAAGCAGAAAATGGCGGGACTACTACAGCCCCTTCCTGTCCCAGAACAACCATGGCAAGTGGTTAGCCTGGACTTCATCACCGGGTTACCACCTACCACCAGTGGTCATGACGCAATCCTTGTCGTCATCGACAAGTTCTCCAAAATGGGACACTTCATCCCAACACACATGACGGCACGCACCGAGGAGACAGCACAACTCTTCGTTCGTCACATCATCTCCCAGCATGGCATTCCAACCACACTCATCTCCGACCGAGACCCCAAGTTCACCAGCAAGTTCTAGAAGGAACTTATGTCTCTTCTCGGAACCAAACTTGCCATGTCATCCGCTTACCATCCGCAGACAGACGGACAGACCGAGCGCCTCAACCAAATTGTTGAGCAACTCCTCCGAGCAGCCTGCAAGGACGAGATCTCCAAATGGGACCTGCACCTGCCCGTTCTGGAGTTTGCTTACACACATGCCGCTACTGGACAAACGCCATTCTTCATCTGCTACGGACGCCACCCACTCATACCACAGAAACCGACCACATCCGCTACAGTACAACCTGCACATGATTTCATCACAACCATGCATCAGCTTTGGGATCGGACCCACAAGCGCCTCCTCGACATTCAGCAGCAACAAAAGTGCCAGGCCGATCGCCATCGCAACGACCACACCATCACAGTGGGAGACCAGGTGCTTCTTGACACCCGTAACCTGGACATCAGCCACCTCCCATCTAAACTACGACCTCGCTTCTGCGGGCCTTTTCTCATGGAAGCGCAGGATACTCCTGTTACCTTCCGCTTGCGTCTGCCAGCCACCTGGAAGATTCACAACGCCTTCCATGTCCAACTTCTGAAGCCCTATCGGGATCCAAACACGATCTTCGTCGGACGCCAACCGCCGCCGCCGCCACCCGTCCTCGTCCAGAATGAACCCGAGTACGAGGTCGAATCCGTGCTTGCACACCGCCGACGTCGGAATGGCGCCGTGGAGCTTCTCATCCATTGGAAGGGTTATGATCCTTCTGAGGACAGCTGGGTCCCTGAGTCCGACATGGGTAAGCCCGTCGTCCTCTGCATGACTACCTTGTCAAGCAGGGTGTTACTTCTACCACCCAGCTTTAAGGGGGGGAAGTGTGAGAGTACGACCCCGTTACACCCCTTGTCCCTTTCCTTATTTCCTTCCTCTTTCATTTCTCTTTTTATCTCATCTCATTGGATTTCCTATTCTCTATTTCCCATTAAACCTTTGGTTTATCCTGCTATTATAATTATATCACTTACCAGGCTTGGGATGTACTAGTGCGCTATCTGGCGTAATCCTGCTGTAATCCCTTAAAACCAATAGCCTCGCGTGGCTATACGCAGGGTGATTCTATCTTCTAGAAGGGTCTATTCCCTTAGGAGAAGATAATCCTGGTTACCTGATGTACCTTGGAAGTATAAAAGCGCCTTGTACTGATCGATAGTGCAACCTTTCCTCGACACATTCGATCCTGTGACAGCCATCAACCAATCGTGCGTCGATTTTGGGCATGCAACGCTCCAGCTGCAATCGCAATTTTTTCGCCTTCGTCACGTCCATCAAACTGTGGCTCGCCCCACCATCAACGAATATTTTGATGCGGTTGTCGCCAACCCTTCCTTCAACCAGCACAGGGCGATCAACCGGTTCACCCCCCTTATTCAGCTAGGAACGGTCGATAGCCCAAATCGGCACTATAATCTGGTGGGGGTGGTGGCGTTTGGGCGACGCAGTCAAGTCAGTAGGTGGCCCGTCTGCTACTGACGATCTCCATTTCCCGACTGCTTCTTATCGTTAGCTAAGTTCTTCTTCAGTCGCGGGCAGTCCCTCACCATATGATTCGGCTGGTTGCAGTGGAAGCAGGTTCCCGAAAATACTCGGGCTGCAAACACGTCCACGCCGTTGATTGATATGTGTTGGGGCTAGCCTCGAAAGCGATTTCCCTCCCGGAAACCTGCTCTCGCAAGTCCACGTCGTGCGTCCAACATGTCTGCTAAGCGAACTATTTCGTTGAATGTCGCCGGGGTTCGCAGGACGATCTATTGCTGAATCTCCAGCTTGAGACCACCCACGTAGCGATCGATGCGCTCGTCTTCGCTAAGCCCTCCGATTTGGTCGCAGATTGCCAGAAACGACACCGTGTATTATTGGACAGAGCTCAACTGTCTCCACATCCGAAGCTTTGTGCAAGCATTTTCGTGAATGGATATATGCTCGAATCTGCCCTTCAACGCTTCGCCCCACGCTTTCCACGTGCGGATCGTGGCCGACCCAAAGTTCTGCCTTCGTCGTTGATGAACTGTGCTCCCCATCAACCGCCGTTTGATTCCCTGCCGGGGCTCCTCCCTCGTCTAGATGCAAGCGCCACCAGTCGAGTGCCGATCCCTTCAGCAACGACAAAGCCAATTTGACACGTGACGCGTTGTCATTAATACTTGCTGCTGTGAAGAAGATTTCCATGGCAAACAACCAACCGCTCACTATAGTTGTTTTGTCGCTCGGGTTGAACGGCGACGGCATCGGAGGTTTGATCTTAATGGCCGTCCGCGGCTCGCTGTGGACTTCTTCAACTGCTTCAGATGTCGCCGACGCCCTCGCTTCGCTCGCAGCATCTTCGTCTTGGGTAGCAGGCCGCCCCTGACGCGTTTCACCCCGCGTCTGGCGAAGCGACGAGTTTTCGTTGCGCAGCGTCTGCACTTCGCTTCCCAGCGACTCAAACTTATCCGCAAGTTGTTGAATTTGGGCCTGCAGTGTCATCAATGTAGCCGCCCTGGCTTGCAACTCGTCAAACTCCTCCTGAGTCACGTTCCTAACACTACGACGGGCAGAGGTTTCCGGCGTGATAGACATGCTGGAAATTTTACCTGACAGATCTGAGGGTGCACACGCTTCTAGTTGGAGGAGATTTAACGAGCTCACCTACCAACCGCAGGCCAACCCCCTATTGTGTCGGGTCCTCTCCCGATACCAGGCTACTCTACGTTTAAGGACTACTCTACGGAAGACTAAGCGGGCAGGAACGGAGCTCTGATACTTGCTGTTATGAATTAACAAGAGTAATAACAGGTAGTGTAATATAGGAGTCGTGATTCAAGAGTGTCGATACAAATGAGGGCCTAGGCATTTATAGGCACGAACAGAGCTAGCTGAGAACCTCGCGAACAGGTTGGGGCGGTCCGGTTGGCGAAAGCCACGGAAGCGCCGCTCCACGCGTCTTGGTTTGGGTTCACGAAATGGATCGGGACCGAAGAAGTTGGCCGAGCCTGGACTTCCGAGAGTCGAGGGCGTATGCGCTGTAGTCGAGCCCAGTAAGGAGAAGGGAATTTCCTTACATACATGATATGCATCATCACAATAGTTGCAATGTTACCAACTCTTTTGAAACATGTCATTTAGTTGCGTTAGTAGCCTGACCCACTAAAGAACAAATTAGCGTTCCCTTTTCCTGCAACCATCCAAGCACATGCGGACAAACGCATGTGCATGGAAGGCATGACGACGAGAGATGCCAAAGAGATCAGGTCCCTGAGGAACCATATAAATAGAAGCTGATGTCAGCTGGATAACAGCTCACATAGTGAGGGAATGTTGCAGAGGGAAGCAAAAGAGTACGGAGGAGTGGAAGAGAGAGAGGGAGACCAGGAGAGCGAGTGAGGGAAGTGGGAAGAAGGGAGGGAAAGGAGCCGGAAAGTGGGGGAGAGGTGGGTAAACGGGGATAGAGAGGGCGGATACGGAGAGAGGGAAAGAGAGAGAGAGAGAGAGAGAGAGAGAGAGAGAGAGAGAGAGAGAGAGAGAGAGAGAGAGAGAGAGAGAGAGAGAGAGAGAGAGAGAGAGAGAGAGAGCGAGAGAGAGAGAAAGAGAGGGAGAGAGAGAGAGAGAGAGAGAGAGAGAGAGAGAGAGAGAGAGAGAGAGAGAGAGAGAGAGAGAGAGAGAGAGAGAGAGAGAGAGAGAGAGAGAGAGAGAGAGAGAGAGAGGAGAGAGAGAGAAAGAGAGGGAGAGAGAGAGAGAGAGAGAGAGAGAGAGAGAGAGAGAGAGAGAGAGAGAGAGAGAGAGAGAGAGAGAGAGAGAGCAAGAGAGAGAGAGAGAGAGAGAGAGAGAGAGAGAGAGAGAGAGAGAGAGAGAGAGAGAGAGAGAGAGAGAGAGAGAGAGAGAGCATAAGATAAAAAGAGAGAGAAAGACCATATAAGAAAGAGAAAGAGAGAGAGAGAGAAAGAGAAAGAGAAAGACCATACGAGAAAGAGAAAGAGAGAGAGGGAAAGAGAAAGAGAGGGAGAGAAAGAGAAAGAGAGAGAGAGAGAGAGAGGGAAGAGAAAGAGAGGGAGAGAAAGAGAAAGAGAGAGAGAGAGAGAGAGAGAGAGAGAGAGAGAGAGAGAGAGAGAGAGAGAGAGAGAGAGAGAGAGAGAGAGAGAGAGAGAGAGAGAGAGAGGGAGAGAGAAAGAGAAAGAAAGACCGAGAGAGCGAGAGCGAGAGAGAGAGAGAGAGAGAGAGAGAGAGAGAGAGAGAGAGAGAGAGAGAGAGAGAGAGAGAGAGAGAGCAAGAGAGAGAGAGAGAGAGAGAGAGAGAGAGAGAGAGAGAGAGAGAGAGAGAGAGATAGAGAGAGAGAGGAGATAAAAGAGGCGCATCAAAAGCCGGCCAGACCTCTCGTCCACTCTCCCCCCTATGTTACATGCACTGGCCATGCTTGCTTGCGTCTTCTTAGATGCTCTAATCAACTGCTCACCCCCGCTGCTCCTACCGCTGCAGCAGTTCTGTCACCACTGCTGCCCTTCCCTGTATCTCCATGGCTACTACTACTACTACTACTACTACCACACCTTAACTGCCTCCAAAGGGCTTCATAGTAAGGGCTTTACAATATATAATTCTCCCTTTCTCCTGCCATGTGCCAGCGGCGATACTCTGCTTCCCGTGACTTGCCAAGGCCTCCCTGCAGCAGCAACGGCAGCAGCTACAGAAGCAGCCACAGCACCAGCTACAGCAGAACCTTCCCTTATGGCATACAACAGCTACAACGGGGAATCCCATCAAAGGAACTACCACTATCCCTCCTTGCCTCCCTCCTTCCCCCCCTTCCTCAGCATCTCTAGCAACTCCTTGGCTTCTGGAGCCACATTCCCCCCTGCTGCTGCTCCTGCCGCCTTGCTCTCACTCCCACCCCCGGCAGCCACACGCACCAGCGATGGCAGCATCCCCTCTGCAAGCAGATCCTTTACAGTGACAATCTCCATTTTCACCATAGCGAGTAGCACTGCAGCGGCATCCTCTCTCGACCGTTCCGAAGCCCCTTCATCTAGTAAATCCACCATCCTCATCATCCCGTCACTCTTCTCTATCTCCTCGCAGCCTTCGGGCAGCCGCGAAAGATTCAGCAGCACCGCCACAGCCTTTTCTTCCAGCCCGGGCAGCTCCTCCTCCTGCCCGATAACATCCAAAAGAACGGGAATCGCCCCCGTTGACACCACATCCTTGGCCCCCCGCGTCGACAACGAGATGGCAAACAGCGCGAGGGCAGCATCCTTCCTCCCCCTCGGTGTCCCCTCCTGGATCACCTTCAGCAGCAGCGGCACCGCCCCGGATTGCCGCACCGCCCCCCGAAAATCATCCTCTTTTGCGAGCACATACAGGGTGGCAGCTGCAGCGGCTTTGGCCGATTGCGCACCTTGCTTCAGGACCTGTACCAGGGCTGGGATCGTGCCGGCTCGGGCTAGATCTGGAGCAGCGGACCAGTGAAGAGCCAAAGTGAGTATCGCTGCTGCCACCTGATCTATCTCCTCTAATCTCGCTGCGCTCTCCCCACCCCCGCCGCCCTTCCCCCTGTCTTCCTCCCCTTCCCCCTCCCCACCCTCGCGTTTAATCACCGCCACAAGGGCTTTAATCACCCCGGCTCGCACCAGCTGCTTTCTTGCGATGTCTATGCCCGCCTCAGCCTGCCCTTTCACGTCTATGCGAACCGTCCTCGCTGCTGCAACTCTCCTGCTCCTAGAACCACTCCGCAGATCCTCAGCTAGTTGAGAGAACCGCGCTGCAAGCTGCGTTGCCAGCTCCTCAGAATCGAATCCTGGGTCCCCTGCGCCGCCCGCCGCCCCGTCGGTGGAAGAGATGTCGCCGCCCGCCCGCCGAGCCGACCCACCCACCAATCCTGCTCCTCCTCTATCCATGCTTCTTCTCTCTGGCGTGCTGGGCCGTTGCCAGGGGTCCCTAGCTCTTCCCCCCCCTCCCCCCCCTCCTCCTCCCCCCGCTCCTGTTCCTTCTAGCCCTGCTCCGACTCCTGCTGCTGTGGTCCCCCCGGGGTTTGCTAAAGGGTCCAGTAGGTTCCATCCCACACTCCTGTTGCGCCTATGGCTGTCGGCGCTAGCAGGCCGAACCACAGAGCCAAACGTAGCACTCACGTACCGTTCCTTCCCACTCCCTCCCACTACCAGCCCCACACTATGATCCCCCACTATTATCCCCCCTCCGCCTCCGCCTCCGCCTCCGCCTCCGCCCCCCCCTCCCCCTCCGCCTCCCCCACCCCCACCCCCTCCCGCTCCAGCTGTTCCCCCACCCCCTTCTCCCCCGACCCCAACCCCCCCTCCTCTGCTCCCTCCCCTTCCCTTCCCCCCTCCGCCCATCCCCCCCCCTGCTGCCAGTGTTCCCATACCCGTTCTGGTCCTCTCAAGCTCCAGGCTTCTCCTCCCCGCTGCCCTAGGCGGCGGGGGTTCGAATCCCCGCTGGTCCACTTTCCCTTCCGCCTGCTGCTCTCTCAACGACCGTCCTCGTCCCAGTAACCGCTCCTTCTCCTCCGTTGGACCAGCCCCATTCCCAGAGACCATTCCCACTGTGTTGCCACTACTACCCCGTCCCCCACCATCCTCCGTCACCCCCCAACCCCTCAAAAGTCCTGGGGGAACTGAAGACATAGACCTATCGAGATTAGAAGACAAATGATGCCGGCCCGATCCCCCTCCCGCCCCACCATGCCTCCCACTCCCTCCTACCTCCCCTCCCTCCCCTCCTCCCCTCCCGGACCACCGCCCCGAGCCTCCTGCTCCGGTCCGGTCCAGGGCGGCTGACAGGTCATCCTGGCTCGCAGACAATCCCGAACCTCCCAAGCCACTTCCAGACCTACCAGCTGGGGAGAAAAATGGGGAGTGTGGGCGGGGAACAGGCGGGGAAGAGAGGCGGGAGAGATTCCGGGGCTCGCCGAAAGGGGCGGAGTAGGGGGCAGCGGGGGCATTGGGGGAGTTGCGGGGGGGGCGGGAGAGGGGAGGGGAGCGGCCTTGGGCAGTGGGCGCGTGCTGCTGTGACTGCTGCATGAGTAGCAGCTCGTGGGGAGGAATGTCTGACATTCGACCCGAGCGCTGCTCCCGCTGACTGCCGCTCTTACCTAGCGCCCTCAAGTCTCTCTCTGGTATTACCTCTGGCTCTCCATGCTCTCCTGACTCCCTCTCTCTCTCTCTTTCCATCTCCCTTTCCCTCTCTCTGTGTCGTTCCCCATCCCTCTCCCTGTCTCTGCTCCTGCCTGTGCTCTCTGCGTATCTCCCTTGTCCTGAAACTGCATCTGCTTCCAACTCCCACGTCCCCGTTCCCGCTCTTCTCCGCCTGCTCTTCTCTCCCCCCCCCCCTCCCCCCTCCCCGCCCTCGCCCCCATTGTTCCCCCTATGCGACCCGCGCCCACTGCTACTCCGCCCCCCCTCCTCTTGGCTTACTTTCCCCCCTCCCCCGGCTTCCCCCTGCAGCGCCGCTAGAGCCGCCCCTCCCCACGTCTTTGTGCGGGAATGCTCCCCTAACCTACGCTCCCCCTCCGCCGCTCCCCCTTCCCCGACACCCCCCCCACCGCCACCCCCCAAGTCGCCCGCGGAACCCGTCCCCAGCTCCATCACGCGCGCGCGGAGGGCTTGCACGCTCACCCCGAACCCTCCCCCCGCGCCCGCGGTTCCCCCGCTGGCGGACTCCCGCTGACTGCCCTGGCGGGACATGATGGGGGAAGAGCTGGCGGAAGCCATGGGCGTGCGCACGACAAGGAGGTTCCGCCACTGGGGGACGGCATGGGGGGACGGCGGCCCGCTGGGGAGATCTCCCCCCGTGCTTCCGCCTCCGCTCCCGCCCCCGTTCTCATCGTGGGACCCCGGCCCTGGGGTTAAATCGAGCCCCAGAACAGCTGCGCTGAAGCGCCCGCTTGAGCTCCCCGCTCCGCCAACGGAGCTTCCGCCACCCTGCTGCGCCGCAAGCTCCATGAGCCGCGCGCGCTCTTTCCGCGTGACCTTGACATGCGCTAGCGCCTCCATATTCACACCCCCCGTTTGCGCCCCGCCGCTCCCTAAGTGCACACCTGACATCTGTCCCCCGATACTTCCCCCGTCCCCGTCCCTTTCCCCGTCCCCGCGCGCCTCATTCCCCCCCCTTCTCCCCGAGTCGAACACCACTTTTTGCCGACCGCTCCCCGCGCTCCCCCCTTCCCACCTGTCCTGTCCTCCCCCTTCCCCCTCCTCCTCGCTATCGTCCTCCCCGCGCGGGGATACCGGCGCAGCCCGCTCGCGGAACACTCCCGCCACCGCCGCCGCCGCCACCGTTATATCCACCTCGTTCCCCCCGAACCGCTTCCGGCTGTTCTCGAAACCGCCGCTATCGTCAAACACGTCGTGCCGCCCGGAGAGAGACCCGCCTCGCGCGCCGCGGCGCATGCGCATCGGCGACGCGTCTGCGCCGGCGGCGGCAGCGGAGACGGCAGCGCTGGCAATGCTCCTGCTGCTGCCAAACTCCCGCGTGCTCCCGCCTTTCAATATCCCGCGTTTCGGGTGCTCGGGGGTCGTTCCTAGCGATGTCGCGCCGCCTCTCGCTCCCACTCCCTTCTCCGCTCTTTCCGCTCGCTCCTTTAATCTACGTCCGGTTCCCTCGCTACTCCCCTCATATGCCTCCCTTCCCGCAGATAAGAGCGCCTCGACCCTACTCCCCCCTGAGTCTACTAATTGCGCGGGATGCTCGCTCCAACTAGCGTTCCGGCCCACGGACTTCCTAACCTTTACTGGCGTCGACGTGGCGGTCTTTCCCGCGGCGCCCTTGCCCTTCTTCCTGCCTGCCACGTCAGCATGCTGCTCCTCATCCTGATCCTGTTCCTCTGAGTCAGACCACGTGTCATGGTGCCGATCTCTGTCATTCCCGCCCTGCGTTCTCCCTTGACCTTGCCCCGCCACTCCTCGCCCTTTTTCGTGCCCGTGCTCCGTTTCATCCGCCTCCTTCTTGTCGGTACCCCCTTTCTTCTTCACACTACTCTTGCTGCTGCGCTCCTTCCCCTTCACTCCCGCTCCGCCTTTCTCCCCCCTCTCCCGCTCTCCCGCCCCCCTCCCCTCCCGCTCTACCTCCCGACTATCCCTCAGACCTCGTCCTTCTTTCTCTTCCCCTTCCCTGGTATCTCTACCATCCCTTGTCTCCCTGCTTTCTCGCGCCTCCTTCATCTTCCCCTTAACCTTCCGCTCCCTCCGCGCACCGTCCTCTGTTTCCTGGTCATACGAGTTCCGCCGCTCCATCCGCCTCACTTCCCCCTGCTCTCCCCCCGCTTCCGCCGTACGAGTACCGCTGCGACCCTCCCCGCGCGACCGCTGCCGGTCCGCGGAAGATTTAGCGGAAGGGGGGCGCCTTCCGCTGCCGCTGCTTCCGCCCCCTCTTCCGTGGCCTTCCCCCCCGTATCCCCGCACCGCGTCGAGAGAAGGAGGCGGCTCCAAAGGCGCTAAAGTGATGCGATTTGCCAGGCACCAATCAGTAATCATCTTCTTAACGGCTACATTAGGACATAGGTTAGTATGATCTACCCGCTGTCGCGTTTTAGGACACGTCATGTGCCCTTCCGCAAACCACTGCTCGATAAAAGAACGCTCGTACGTCAGCCCCGACGCTATAATCACAGGATCTCGCATGATATCAGCGGACAACGGGCAGGTGAAATGTTCCGGAACAAGAGACGCCAAGATACTAGTCGCGCTACCGTTACCGCCGCCTCCGCCGCCGCCGCCGCTCGCTCCGCCACCCCCCTCCCCCCCTAGCCGACCCGAACTCGTTGAAGGTCGTCGCATCATGCTCCATTTAGCGTGCTCTGCGGCGGAAAGTGCGGGAGGGCGCGAGAGCTGCTCCCAGGCATCCGATCTAAAGAGGGGCCCGTCGGCCGCGGTCATCACAGACGCATGGAGGCGAAGCTCGCGAGGCTGGCGAAAAGGTAACAGCGAATGCGGTGGTGGTAACCGCTCATCGCCGCAGGGAAACGCGGAGGGCGGGAGCTTGGAACAGGGAAATGAGGGCTTGAGTGGTAGGTTAAAAAGTAAGTGTGATTAGTCTAGGAGTCTTGAAATATTTCTTGACGCAAGTCAGGGGTCAGGTGGTCAGGTGGTCAGGTGAACTTAATACGTCTCCAGGAAGAAACTGTTAACGGTAATGCGCCATTAGAGGAAACTAGCGTCGCCCTTTCAAGCAAGCTGCAGAGCATCAGCTAACGCTCCTGAAATGCATGGACGCGACAAGCCCCCCCGTTATTTCGTACCAGTTCGATGTCAAAACAGAAGAAAAAATATAAAAAAATAATAATAAAGAGGAGGCAAGGATTAGCTGGCACGCAAGGTCCAACGAAACCTAAGTAGCACCTAGGTTCGGGTAACCGGCTGGGGGCTGAATAGAAGGGGAGGCAGTGAGCAAGAGCTAGCAGGTCAAAAGCTTGTGGGCCGGGTTTCTGAAGGTTATGGAGGTCAGAGACATATGTTCTCTAGGCAAAGGCTAGTGCGGCGGGAAAGGTGAGCGCAACCAAGCCCAAGGTGCTGCTTGCTTGCCAAAATGTTCTCTAGGTGGCGGAGCAGAGGGGAAAGGTGCGCGCGAGCAGGTAGTTGGAGAGCGGGGGAGGGGGAGCAAGAGGCGGGGGGAGAGAGCGGGAGGAGAGGTTGCGGGTAGTTTGACGGACGGGGCGCAGCGGAAACGGCCGTGAATAAGGCGGGAGGGCTGCGGGGTAGCTAATTTACACCTCCGCGCAAGGGAATTTTGGCGCAACTCAACGGCTTCCTTGCCTGGTTCGGGGGAATGGGTGGGGGCCCCTCAGGCTGGGCGTTCGATGTTGGTCTTTGCTGTACAGTCGTACAGTGCATTGTACTTATTCGGCTCCTTAGGGAAAATAAGTACCTTTATTTCTACACACAAGACGGATGGCAGAATGCCTCATCTCTGCATATTTTCACACTCGGTACAGATTTGTCGTTGCAACAAACTCCTGTGAGAGAGGTGTTGAAGTATACTCGACAGAGTTACCACTTATGCATTCCAGATATTTGACTTAGACTTTGTTAAACTAAGGCAGCTAGGAACGGTAGGAAGCCATGAAATGGCGAGAGGTTTTAGGCTAGGAAAGTTGAGGAGAGAAAAGGGGTCGAGAATAGAAGAGAGCGGAATTCAAGGAGGGGGGTTGCACCCTCTACAGTAAGTTACAGTAACACCTACCAAGCCTACCAATGATATAACAAAATATATAATTTAACACACCCCCTAGGCTTGGTAGTAACAAGGCCACACACACCCACACCCCCTTACCTAGCCCGCCCTTTCCCAGCAGCAGCCGCGATGACTCTGGAATCGGTCAACACCCACGGCCCGGGAGATGGCAATGGCGGCAGTCGTGGCTGTGACGAGAGCGACGGCGGCGGCGGCAACAGGCCAGTGGCAACAGGCCAACGGCGGCGGCTTCAACGTCAGAGGCGAGTGCAGCGGCCCCCACCCTCTCAGCGGCACGGCCAATCTCCTTGGCGAGGGGGAAGGAGGGGGGGGGGGGGGGGGAGGCGAATCTTCAGCGAGGCACCATGGCTGGCGCGACGCTTACTGGCGTTAGGGCGTTATGACTGGCGCCTAGGACAGGGCGCTGGCCGCAGCTGTCTGTGCGCTGGCGTGGCGAAGCCGCCACGGCAGTACGACGGCACGGCGACCCAGCGGAACGGCGGTGCGGCGGCACGGCGACCCAGCGGCACCGTGGCACGGCGACGTGACAGGGCCGGCAGGGAATAACGGGGCCGGAGCGGAGTGACGGGGCTGGCGCGGCGTGACGGGGCCAGCGTGGTGTGACGGGGCCAGCACGGAGTGACAGGGCCAGCGCGGGGTGACGGGGCCAGCACGGAGGGACGGGGCCGGCGCGGAGTGACGGGACTGGCGCGGCGTGACGGGGCCAGCGCGACATGACGGGTCCAGCGCGGAGTAACGGGGCCAGCGCGGCATGACGGGGCCAGCGCGGCGTGACGGGGGGGGGGGGGGGGAGTACGCTGCGGAAGCGTGAGGAGAAGGCTGGAGCGAAAGGGGCCTGCTCTGATACCATGTTAAACTAAGGTAGCTAGGAACGGTAGGAAGCCATGAAATGGCGAGAGGTTTTAGGCTAGGAAATTTGAGGAGAGAAAAGGGGTTGAGAATAGAAGAGAGATGGATACAAGGAGGGGGGTTGTACCCTCTGCAGTAGGTTTCAGTAACACCTACCAAGCCTACGAATGATATAACAAAATATATAATTTAACAGACTGTACTACACCTTAAATCTCGTTTGTCTCAAATCAAGTAGCATAAAAAAGCGAATAGTCATTGTCCAGATCAGCTTCTTATTACATCGTGAGATGGAATTTCACATTGCTCTGGACCAAATATTGTATAGTATGGGAAAAACCACAGACCATAACGGATTGAGGGTACCCAGACGAATTTCGTCTCATTCCACATCGGGACGTGTGCAATGTGCACCCATCAGTGAGTTGCATGAAGGAAACAGAAAAACACGTAATGGTGCAGACGTCAAGAAACTGGCAAGTCGCCCCTGCGCACATGCACACCAGCCCTTGAGATATCAGCCTTTTTAGGCTGATTTGGGTTTCGGGTCCAGGCCATATCTTGGCATTGGCTAGTGCAAATGATACGAAGTCTTTTGAGGGACCTGTTGTTGAGAAATAAGTCTCAATGGGCAGTTTGCAAACACTGGAAAATCATAGACAACAGAAAAAAACAGCCATTGAAATTAAGCTGACTAGGGCTTTAAGGTTGATATCTCAGGGCCTGATGCACACCCCAAATCCCCTAACCCCTTTGTCGGTCGAGATTGAGGTCGGCCTCACAAGTTGAATCCGAAGGCGACAGGGTGGTCAAAATTGGCAGCCAGGTGCCGAAGGCCCATTCGACAGTTTAGTCCGCAACAGGCTAGAGTGAACGCGCAACACACCGAAACACACCAACAGCAGTGCCGGGCACACTAAAAAGGTAACCACCGTCAGCCGGAAATTCGACGGAGGCCCTCTACTTGACGGCATAAATTGTGAAGAAAGAACCGACACCACCGAAAATGGCTTTCCCGCAGTGATTTAGTCAGTTAGGAAGAGAAACGACAGTTTGTCATCATGTGGTGGACCCCTGGCGAAACAAAAAATTTGTGGTGCTGAACTCGCGTGCTGACGGTGTAGAAAAGGCAGCCATCAGTAATAGCCATGCAACATTGTCTAAACGGTACATTTCGGTGACCCTACACAATCGAAACCTGTGAGAGGAAAAGCTCATGAAACTCAACCCACACCACAGCGAGCCACATTTCATGAGATGAAGGCGATGTTAAAGTGAGAAGGTAGCTAGGAACGGTAGGAAGCCATTGAAATGGCGAGAGGTTTCAGGCTAGGAAAGTTGAGGAGAGAAAAGAGTTCGAGAATAGAAGAGAGAGGGATACAAGGAGGAGGGTTGTACCCTCTACAGTAGGTTTCAGTAATACCTACCAAGCCTACCAATTATATAACAAAATATATAATTTAACACACCCCCTAGGCTTGGTAGTAACAAGCCCACACACACCCACACCCCCTAACCTAGCCCGCCCTTTCCCAGCAGCAGTTGCGATGACTCCGGAATCGGTCAACACCCACTGCCCGGGAGATGGCAATGGCGGCAGTCGCGGTAGTGACGAGAGTGACGGCAGCGGCGGCGTGCGGCGGCAACAGGCCAGCGGCAACAGTGGCGGCGGCGGCGGCTTCAACGTCAGAGGCGAGTGCAGCGGCCCCCGTCCTCTCGGCGGCATGGCCAATTTCATCGGCTGTGGAGAAGGCCCTCACGAGGCAGTCGACGGCTGTGGCAAGGAAGAGGGGACGCAGGGGAAGGAGGGGGGGGGGGGGGGGGCGTGGTCCAGAATCACGCCCGTGGCTGGCGAGCGGGCGGCAGGTCTAACAGTGCCACTGGCATTGCGCGGCCGGCTACAGCCCGACGACGCCATCACAGAGCGGCGTCGATGCCGCGGCGGGACGTCGACGCTGCGACGACGGCATGACAGTGCCGTCACGCCACCACGGCTGGACGTCGACGCCACGACGGCGCGACGCCACGGCAATGAGTCGAGACGGCCGCGGCACGACGCGACCAGCGGCATGACGACGCCGCCACAGCAGCACGACGGCACTGTCACGCTACCACACCTGGACGTCGACGCCACGACGGCGCGACGCCACGGCAGTGCGTTGAGACGGCCGCGACTCGACGACGCCGCCACAGCAGCACGACGTGGCCGCCATGGCAGAGCGAGAGGGAGAGAAGGAGTGCGCGGCGGAAGCGTGGGGAGCAGGCCCGGGAAGGGGAACCCACTCTGTTACCATGTTAAAGTGAGAAAGTTAGCTAGGAACGGTAGGAAGCCATAGAAATGGCGAGAGGTTTTAGGCTAGGAAAGTTGAGGAGAGAAAAGAGCTCGAGAATAGAAGAGAGAGGAATACAAGGAGGAGGGTTGTACCCTCTACAGCAGGTTTCAGTAATACTTACCAAGCCTACCAATGATATAACAAAATATATAATTTAACAGGCGACACCCCAAGCCCTCTCCACGTGCAGTTTTTAAAACCGCCGTGCCAAGACTTATATTGGTAGGAAAGTTGGTACATCTTATATGCGAGAGATGCCCAGAACGTGGTCCGTCAAATATGGCGTACAGCGAGTATGGGCCGTACGCTAGGGGCAAAGGGGGCTATGGAGTTTCCAAGGACATTGGAGGTTTGTTTTTTGTGTTCTGTTCACCCTCGGTGCCGTTGGCTGTTTTGGCGACAACCTGTCAGAATCTACGTCGCATGTGTTTCAAGCCTGGGCTCATTAAGGTTTTCATGCACACGCAAATTTTGTTGCTCGAAATACAAAACATTGCAACCAAGTGTCACAGCCATCCCCTCGACTTGACTAAGACATGACTCGATTTGCGGACAAGAGAAAACTTGACGACAAGGAAGGAAATAGGCAAAGACAGGATAACAATGTTAAACATAGTTAGATACCTAGGTAGTTAGGGAAGCCATAGAAATGGCATGAGGTTTTAGGTGGGAGAGAAATATCGAGAGAGAAGAGAGTTTGGAATAGAAGAGACAGGGATACAAGAAGGGGGGTTGTACCCTCTACAATAGGATCCAATAACACCTACCAAACCTACCATTATATATATCAAATATATTACTTAACACACCCTCTAGGCTTGGTAGCCGAAAGCACACCACACACACAGCACACTAAGCCACACACCCCCTAAGCCTAGCACCACCATGTTAGAATAACATAATAACTAGAACTAGTGAGAATAGGGGAGATATAGGGTTAGAGTTGTACCCTCTAAGAACACAAACCTATCTAGCCTATAACTTCTCTATATAAACATATGTATAAGTTGACACACCCCCTAGGCTAGATAAGGGGTAGTGCTGAGCAAGGAACACGCAACTCAGGGTGGCACTACTAGCAAGTGAGTAGCTATAGGAACTAGACCAAGCTGCAAACAATGCCGCTGATGATCTTTAGTCGCAAGCGCCTTAGCAGCGGGCAGTCGGCTGGGGGCGGCGGCACACAGTGCCGCGGAGGGGGCGGCGGTACACAGTGCCGCGGAGGGGGTCGGTCTAGAGCTAGTACAGGCAGCTCACAGCACCGAAGCCACCGGTAGAGGCCGACCTGCGAGGAACGCCACCGCAGCCACCACCTCCAGAGGCACCAGGCCACCTCGGCAGGAGGCGGGCCCACCGCTGCTGCGGCTGCTGCTGCTACAACGACTGCTGCTGCGTCGGCTGTGGCTGCTGCTGCTCCTAGACACCAGCCCCAACCCCCTCGTCAGAACCACTGTCCCCGTCACCACCACCACAACCACCACCGCCACCACCACCAACACCACCACCACCACCACCACCACCACCACCACCACCACCACCACGACCACCACGACCACCACCACCACCACCACGACCACCACCACCACCGCCGCCACCACCACCACCACCACCACCACCACCACCACGACCACCACCACCACCACCACCACCACCACGACGACCACCACCACCACCACCACGACCACCACCACCACCACCACGACCACGACCATCACCACCACGACCACCACGACCACCACGACGACGACGACCACCACCACCACCACCATCACCACCACCACCACCACCACCACCACGACGACGACGACGACGACGACGACGACGACGACGACGACGACGACGGCGACGACGACCACCACCACCACCACACCACCACCACCACCACCACCACCACCACCACCACCACCACCACCACCACCACCACCACCACCACCACCACCACCACCACCACCACCACCACCACCACCACCACCACGACCACCACGACCACCACCACCACGACCACCACGACGACGACCACCACCACCACCATCACCACCACCACCACCACCACCACCACCACCACCACCACCACCACCACCACCACCACCACCACCACCACCACCACCACCACCACCACCACCACCACCACCACCACCACCACCACCACCACCACCACGACCACGACCACCACCACGACCACGACCACCACCACGACCACGACGACCACCACCACCACCACCACCACCACCACCACCACGCCCTCCCTTGGGGCCACGACGACCCCGACGCGGTCGCAGCTGCGGGGACACCGTAGCTGCAATCTCGGCGGCAGGGGCAGCCGAAGAGACCGCGGCTGAAACGTCAGCGTATGTGCACTGGGAGGGAGCACAGCCCTGAAAGTTAGGGACTGCCGCAACACCGCTCGACTAAGCGATAGTGCGCTGGCGAGTCTCTATCTCAGACAGGGCGGTGACAAAGGCGGTCAGGGTGAGGTCACCAGAGTGCTGGCTAAGGAAGTGGTCGCGAACAATGGCTAAGCGGTCTGGAAGGTGCATGACAATGAGGTACAGTATAGCGCAGAAGGGTGGGGGAAAAGCAGTGAGCTGGGCGTGAGTGCTAGTGGCGCGGTAGCTAGTTTCTAGTGCACGGAGGTGAGTGGCTAGGTCAGCGACAATGGGGAAAGTGGCAAGATCAGGGAACAACATGGGGAGGATCAGGCGGCCAGCAGAGGCGGAGGTGGGCGTGGAGTAGCGCTCAACTACTGCATCTAGGAAATCCTTGGCGTTCGCGACAGCAGTGAAGCGTGGACGCTCAGACAGGGGAAGAGCATGACTAATGGCTAGCTGCGCTACAACATCGCGGGAATCCCAGATAGCGTGAGCAAGCACATCAGCAAAAAATGCCTTACGCTCAGCAGTGGTGGGGTCAGCAAGGAGGTGATCAGGCGCGGGGGGGCGGGGAATCAAACCATCAACATGCACAGCCAGGGAGTGCCCATCCTGGCGCTGACCTGTCAGGTGACGGCGGAGATCGACAAGCCAGGCGACGAAGTTGATCGCGTGCCCCTCCGCGTCGAGGCGGAGTACAGCGTCCACCATCGTGCAACCTTAGCATCACAGCTGCATGGCAGCACAGCGATACGGTGGCACAGCTCCACGGCGGCACAGCGACACTGCAGCACAGCGGCATAGCGGCACAGCAGCATAGCTACTCAGCGGCACGGCGGCACAGTGGCGTGGCGGCAGAACTCTCCGGCGGGGAGACCGACCGGAAGGCCGAGCGGGGCACACAGGGCCCGAGGCGCGTAGTAGGCCGGCGAGGCGCGATGGGCCGGCGGAACTCGAAAGGGGTGGCGGGGCGCCAAGGGCCGGCGGAGCGTGAGGGCCAGGCGGAGCGCTAGGGCCAGTAGGCACTCGAGGGGTTGGTGGGGCGCTTAGGGCCGGCGGGGCGCTTAAGGGACCAGCGGGGTCGGCGGAGCGCTAAGGGCCGGCGGGCACGCAAGGGGCCGAAGGGGCACGCGAGGGCCGGCGGGGCACTAAGGGCCGGAGGAGCGCGAAGGGCCAGCGGGCACGTGAGGGGCCGGCGGGGTACGCGAGGGGCCGGCGGGGTACGCGAGGGGCCAGCGAGGTACGCGAGGGGCTGGCGGGCCGTTAAGGGTCGGCAGGGCGCTAAGGGCCGGCGAGCACACGAGGAGCCAGCGGGGTGCGCGAGGGGCCGGTGGGGTACGCTAGGGGCCGGTGGGGTACGCGAGGGGCTGGCGAGACGCTAGGGGCCGGCGGGGCGCGAAGGGGACCAGCGGGCGCGAGAGGGGTCGTCGGGGCGCTAAGGGCCGGCGGGGCATGCTAAGGGCCGACGGGGCACGCTAAGGGCCGGCGGGGAGCGCTAAGGGCCGACGGGGTGCGCTAAGGGGAACAACGGGGCGGTAGGCTAGGGCTAGGGCGGAAGCGGGTGGGCGGACCTAACCTAGCTTTGATACCATGTTAGAATAGCAGAATAACTAGAACAAGTGAGAACAAGGAAGATATAGGGTTGTAGTTGTACCCTCTAAGAACACAAACCTATCTAGCCTATAACTTCTACATATAAACAATTGTATAAGTTGACACCCCATACTCAGCAGCGACGACGGATACTCCACCATGGACAACCCCTCGGCGCGTGAGGCGGCGACGTCGACAGCGAGGGCAGCGGCTGCAACGGGGGCGATGGCGGCAGCGTTGACAGCGGTGGCGGTGGCGGCGTATGGCGGCGTGGCCAGCGGCACCATCTGCTGCTTCGACGACAGCTGCCGGCGGTGGCGGAGCTCGCAGCACTCGACGGCATGGCCGGGCTCAGCGATGGTGGGACGGCCGGCGCGAGTCAGCCGTCGACTGCGGCGAGGAAGAGGGGACGCAAGGGAAGGGGGCAGGGCTTCAGCAGCGGAGCCCAGGAGCGTGCCGCCCCGTGTGGCACGCTGGCTGCATGCAGGCGTGCTGGCCAGCGCTAAGACCAGGTGGTGGCCGGTGCCGTCCGTGTCGTCCGCGCGCTGGCGCGTAGACGCCGCCACGGCAGCACGACGACGCCATCACGGCAGCACTGCATGGCCGTGGCGGCGGCGCGGAAAGGATAGGAGGGAGGAGAGGACTTTGCGGAAGCGTGATAAGTAGACCTAGGAAGAGCAACCTGCTCTGAAACCATGTTAAACATAGCTAGATAGCTAGGTAGTTAGGGAAGCCATAAAAATGGCATGAGGTTTTAGGTGGGAGAGAAATATCGAGAGAGAATCGAGTTTGGAATAGAAGACAGAGGGATACAAGAAGGGGGGTTGTACCCTCTACAATAGGATCCAATAATACCTACCAAGCCAACCATTATATATATCAAATATATAATTTAACAAACACCGCCAGATAAGAAAACACGAAATTGCAGGTCTTCACAATTGCACCAACAGATCATTGCCTCCCCACATTAGGCGGAGCCATGCGACGCAGAGGAAAGTAGAGACAGCATAGCGGCGTAAGAAGATGGATGTAAGGTGGATCTCCTAGCCGTACGCACTGCGGGGAACCATCCACTTGCCGCTGTGAGGGAAGGTATTCATCACCGCCGTCGCCTGCAGAACGTGCTGGCGGTAATCCTCCATTGCCGCTCTTGGCGCGGGGTGGACGTCGAGATACGGCGACGCCCTCTGGAGACGGTCGATGACCGACGCCTCGCAAATGTCGAAGACGACGCGGAGGTCGCGGGGCGCCAATCCGATCGACTTCGCATAGTTGATCAGCATCTCCGTCGCCATGCGCGAGAGATGGCGGCTGTTGCAAAGGTCGTTGTCGGGGGGTGAGGGTAGGGCAGCGTTTGCGTACCATGCGTTGCGTACCGGCATGCCTAGAGGCTCGCCAATGGGTCACCTCCGCCAGGCTCGCATGTCTCAGCATCCGTGTCGGCCGTCACGTAGCGAATGGCCGACAGCATGTCGTTCGGCCCGAAGGAGAGATGATCCATGCAATCGAGCACCAGGGTGAACTCTGCCTCAAGGTTGTGTTCCTGCTCGGTGGTAGTGGCGTCGATGAGGGTGAGGAGGGGCGCCCAGCTCGCGAGGAGCATGCGGGTGCGTCAGAAGCATTTCTGGACGATGCTGATCTCAATCCCGAGGAGGGAGTCTGAGATCCAGCGCACCACGAGCACCATGTCAGGCTTGTTGCGCAGGACCTCGTGGACGCACCGACGGCTCTCCCACTTTGCGATAGTCCACTGCAGAAGTTCGCCCTTATAACGCGCCTTCAAGGTGGCAAAGATCCCCTGATCAAGGGGCTGGGTGTAGCAGGTGGTGTTGGGTGGCAGGTAGACCAGGCGCACGTGGGAGAGCGCGCGGGTGCGGAACCCGCAGATGTCGGCCGTGGTGATGAGCAGGGACAAAAGGGTATGATTGCTGGCATTGTCGAGCATGATGAGGATGTGCCGGTCTTCTGCGAAGCAACACACATTGACGTGCTCGATGAAAGTAGTGAAGACCGGAGCGTAGTAAAGAAGACGGGAGGGGGGGGGCGGGGCATTGGTTAGAGCACGAGCAACGATGGTGTGGGCGTTGCACAAGACGCAATGAGTACCAGACACTGCTGGGATGAAGGGCGGCAAGGGTACGATGCGTGCTTGGATATTACCGGAGAGGTCATCCAGTCGTTCTTGTTAGCGCGCCAGTAGCGGTACTGCGAGGGGTCGAAGTTCTACTTTGCAAAGCATTGCGGGCATTCATGCTTGTGAATGATGAGGGGCTTGAAGTACTTCGAGCTGTCCGCATTCAGCAGGACCCCGATGGTCAACCTTTCATTGGCCATCTTCAATCCAGAGGAGGGCGCGTCTTTGAACGAGAAGGCGGGATGCATGGAGTAGTACATTGCAGTCTCATCGAAGTTGAAGAGGTTCTCGGGAAGAATCCTGTGACGCAAGCATAGCTCCGAGAAGTGCAGCTTCGCTGTTAACGCCGCCCTCATGTTTGACGATCTTGCCTCACTGCTCTGCTTGTGCCACTTAAAACCCATTCGACGAAACACCTTCTGCACCCATCAGACGCTCGCTTTGAAGTCGGGATGCACGTCGCACTCCGGCGCTTGACGCAGAGCCTTCGCTTGGATGAGGGCGATCGTTATGGGCACGCACGCTTTGTTCGCCGCCTTCAACCAAGTGCGCAGACTATCCTCTAACTTGGGCCAGAATGCATTTCAGAGCCTCTTGAACTTCGTGTTTTCTGGCCCCAGCGCCAGCCATCTCACCTTGTCCCTCAAAATTCGCCCACGGTGCTGCGGTCAGAAATGAGGCCATATCTGGTGTGACACCACTGGACGAGGTCACCCAGCCGCAAATGGTAAAAATTTTCGGCATGCTGATACAGGCAAATCTTCTGCCCAATCGAAAATGAGGTGCGTTGACCTGGCCTCATTGCGCGTCCCAGAAGATAACAGATGTGGGGTCGACCCCGATAACTGCGAGCTTGTATGGCTAGGGGTTCATATGGGCTCGACTTGCGCCGAGGTGGATTGGGGAAAGAGTGGGAATGCAACACACACAACCTATGTGGCATGTGTGTATTGGTTGTGCGGTGATAGGGGCAATCCAGAATTCTGACGGATTCCGTCACCCGATTTGGTTACGCGTGACTGGTCCGACTGTTTGTTCCACTGATTAGGTGGATCGCGGGCGCGGCATTGGTTGGCGATTCACCGACTGGAGGATTTGTCAGGTGGTGCTACCCAATCGGACCTATCGCAGCCGCGTAACAGAAATCCTGATGTGGGTCGTTTATCGGTGCTATGCTTGACCATAATGAATACTGTTTAATTTAAATGCATACTCGGAGCGTATATGATAGTATACTCTAATGATAAAATGCTTATGGTGCAGTACGTAGCATAGAATGTCATTGCGATGAAAGCATAAGACATGTGTAGGGTGTCTGTTCTGATTGGTGGACGGGGAAGGGTGGACGCAGAAAGAGTTGGCGAGAGGAATTTGGTCGACGAAACTCGCCAGCCTTGCGAATTTTCGGCACGAACACGACAGGGATTGCAAAAATTCGCCGATCTATATTTGGTCGTCGCAAGGATGCAAAGAGGCGAATCTCGTTTTTTGTGCGCCAAGTTGCGTGGGTAACTTCAGTTCAGCGAAATTGTTTCGCAGGGGAATTCTTCGCCCCTGCCTCCACCCAAACCTGAACAGGGTGACACAACCAACCTTCCTATGATTGAGACAGTTTCGACAGTTTTGGAACGACGGTTTTGTGGAAAAAGACTGCACATAATTCCCACCGTCTCCAGAACTCGCTGACACAAAGGTCGCCATACTTCTAAAGCCAGGGACCCAAGTTTCTCGAACCTGGGGCAAGTGTTTTACAATTGATTGGAAAAAACCAGGTTTTGTGTCGTGAGGGCGCGTGAATGAGCAGGTTGCGGTTGGCTTTCGCTAGCCAATCTGAGCGCGCAAACCAGCTGTAAAACAAGGTCCCAAAACTTGGGGCTTCGAGGTTCCTCCCAAAACAACCCGGGACACAGGGCCAGTGACGAAA